TAGCCTCGATTTTCTTGGCCCCCCCATTGACGCCCCAGGTATTTCACCATTACCCGATCACATTTTGGCCCTAGAGTCTTTTCCCATCCCCCCCACTCTCACCCAACTTCGTTGTTTCATAGGAATCATCAACTACTACCGCCGATTCATCCCTCACTGTGCAGATATTTTGCAGCCACTGACCGATTTACTCGGCTCCAAAGAAAAATCTGTTACTTTGCCCCCCGCCGCCATTGCCGCTTTCGAAAGAGCCAAGCAAAGGCCACAAAGTTATCTTTCCTCGACACTCACGAAAGCACAAAGCTGATTTTGACAACTGATGCTTCGAGCGCTGCCGTCGTTGCCGTGCTTCACCAGGTTTTTGACAACACATCTCAACCACTAGCGTTTATCTCGCAGAAGATGCAGGCTGCAAAAACGCGTTACAGTACTTTTGGTCGTGAATTACTTGCAATTCACCTTGCTATTCGCCGTTTCCAGTACTTGTTAGAGGGTAAATCGTTTACCATTCAAACCGACCATAAGCCAATCACCTATGCATTCAACGCCAAGCCTGATCGATATTCAACACGCGAGATACGCCATCTCGACTACATTTCACAGGTCGCTACCGGCATTCGGCACACTCTAGGTTTGGACAATGTCGTCGCAGATGCCATATCCCATCCTGACATCAACGCTCTTCAACCTTCCACGCAGCTGGACCTAGCCAAGCTGGCTAACCTTCGAAATAGTGATCCTAATTTTTTGCCCATTCTATCCTTCCCTTCATTTCAAGTCTCTTCAATTCCCTTACCCCTCCCATCCGGAACCATCTTTTGTGATATGTCTACAGGCTCAACTCACACCCGAAGCCTTTCGACGGGTTGTTTTCGACCACTTTCATGGACTATCTCATCCAGGAATCAGAGCAACCAGGAAGTTGATTAGTGCACGCTTTGTATGGCCCTTCATGAAGAAGGACCTGACATACTGGGCCAAACAGTGCATCACCTGTCAACGCAGTAAAGTAACTCGGGATACGAACTCACCTATCGGTTCATTTGCCATTCCTGATGCTCGATTCACACACGTCCATCTCGACATTGTTGGTCCGCTTTCCCCATCAAACGGTTTCACGCATATTCTTACCATGATTGATCGTTTTACCCGTTGGCCAGTAGTTGTACCCATTTCAGATACTTCAGCTGAAACTGTTGCCTATTCATTTTTGCAGCATTGCGTGAGCAATTTTGATATACCTTCTACCGTTACTATCGAT